TGGCATGGTCTCGGAAATGAATGGCTTTCAGGACAGTGGAGAGATTCCTAACGTTGTCCAGGCTGGCCACTAAGCTGTACTGATCATTCTCATCTTGGACGTGCTGGGTGAGGAGGGGCATCGTCCACCGCACGTCCGGTCCCGAGGGATGCTCCAGGGGCCAGCGCCTGCTCCCGCGGAACACGACACACCTGACGGGATCTGACAATAAAACGTCCCATCAACGCTCCGGAGACCCCAACCCGCTCTGAGGAAGAGTACAAGGGGCCTGGCCATTGACCTCGGCTGACCAGGCCGAACCCCGCTTCTGCCACTGAACGATCTCTCTAAGCTACGGTTTCCCCGCCTTCCCTATGGAAACAGCAATACGTGAAAATTCGTGAAGAATGAAAATACGTAACTGACACCGCAGTCCCTTCGGGGCCAGGTTCGCCATTCCAAACTGGGGCTACGTCTCCCCACACAGTCTGTACGGGCGGCTCCGCGCCACCAACCTTTCCTTTAAGAGAACAGGCGATGGGGGCGGGCCCGAGTCCTCAAAGATCTTCCTGGAGTCCCAGAAAACCTCATTCACCTGCCCGCCCGCGGGACAGCCTCCGCTTACTAGTCTCGGGATCCTGGGGCGCGGAAACCCGACCTCTGCGGTGGGGTCCGGACGTCGGAGAGCCCTTCCCAGCCAACCCTTGAGGGACGAGAGTTGCAGCTCCCGAGAAACTGGGCAGGTAGCGTACCCGCTCCCTACACTCTTCAGAACGGCCTCCCACGTCGGCCACCGTCACCACAGAGCTGGAGGAGGCCTAGAGCGCCGTGCGTGCGGCGCCACCGAGACCGGAAAGAGGAGCGAGCGGCAGGAGCGGAAGGACGGCGGAGAGCGAAGGTGGGGGAGCAAGATGGCTGCGACTAAGAGGAAACGGCGTGGAGGCTCGGCGGTTCAGGCGAAGAAGCCAAAAAGAAACGGGAAAGATGCCGGGCCGTCAGCTAAGCCGCGCGTCATGGTAGAGGAAGTGGAGGAGGAAGAGAGAGACCGTATCCCAGGCCCCGTTTGTAAGGTAGAAGGGCATACTCTCGGGCTCCATCCGCGGTGGCGGCTCCGCGCGCCTTCCCTGGGTCCACCGACCCACTACAGCTCTGCTAATTTCGGAGTATTCTGGGTGTCACCGGAGATCTGTCTCAGCAGTCTTCCCGGCCGGACTGGGCACAGTGTTTACATCTAATCCTCGTGCACGTGGCCACCCTCCTGGAGGCGGCGGGCGTTAGAACCTTCACCCGGCTCACAGGAAGCGCCTTAGGGGTTCTCAGCTCCAGTGTCCCGTCTTCCAGATGTTAATGGGGTTTTTTGTTTGTTTTCTGTTTTGGCGGGGAGGTTTCGGCTAGTGAGTATATCTCTTCAGTTATTCAGCCATAGTCAGCCACTGACAGGGATCTTGAAGCTTATTATGCGAGCCTTTAAAAAGTTGCTGTGCTGGGGACTGTCATTCTGACGTGACGGGTCAGAACTTTAACTCAAGGGATAATGAAAACTAGACTAAGTAGTATGAGCTTCTTTACCTGTATGTACTCAACAGACTTTCAATGTGCTATACACTGTACCAAGTTAGGCTTC